TCCAAAATAGTCTTCGACGCATGTCGATCTCCAAGGGATTCAATGGTTTCCCACACGGTGATTTGGTAACGGTGGCTTCTTCGGTCAACCCCAAGTCCTGGCAAAGTTTGGCGGCCGTGCCCACGACCCAGTACGCAGCTGTACGGGTGGGCGTTACCATTGAATATGAGGCTATGAGCACGAGGCATTGTAGAGCCCCTATATCCAATCGTTTCAATGTAGGTTCCAGGTAGGGCAAGGCCGCAAGATAATAACTATCAGCGAGGCCAGCATATTCTGTACTCATCTTCTGCATGCTGATAGCGATGACCATCCGCAGTTGGAAATTTTTGCAGGGGTCTGTAGAGCCATCGAAGACCTCCTCTACCTCTTGTCGAAACGTGGGCTCGTGCAGGAGGGGAAGTTGTGCTTGTGCTATACAACGAATCAGTCACACGAGCTACGAGGAAAACAAAAAATCCAAACAAAGTGATCGCAGTACCTTTGGCCACAAACAGATCAATCAATTTATATGTCAGGCCCTTTGGAGGTAGGTTGGGTTGTGGAATCGAGCTTATCATGGGGTAGACTTTTGATGTCGGCTTGGAGTCTTCTTCGGCAAACGCGTCTTTAATCTCTTGTGCGGTGAATTCGGGGACAACGTCCTTTATGCTTTTGGAGTCGGTATTCTGCTTGGCCATCTCCATGACCAAACGAGTCATGGCGATGCCACTCGAGGCACCGAGATATCGCGGCTCATCATTCTCCTTGAATCGGATGCGCCCGGCGCCCCGCACCATCAGCTCGGCATCGGCAGCATGTTGTATTTCATTCTCGGCTTTGGCAAGCTCTCTTTCTAACGCGCGGGCTTTCTCTCTGAGCGATACGATATAGGTTCGAGGTATAGTTGTATCTCGGGCCGAATCGTAATACACGCACTTGGCATTGCTTCGTTCGCAGGGCGCACATCGTGGAATCCCGGGGTCGCATCTGGACTTTCGCTACACGGAAGGTAGGTCAGTTCCGAAACAGCATCGCGTAAGGAGGGGGTGGTGGGGGAAAGTTATGAAGCTCTAGGGCCGAGGGGCGAAAAGTCGGAGATGGCGGGGACGGGGTGATGGCATCATACCTGTCTACACCTTGTGCAGGCGGTTAATGTGTGAGCGATACGACCGTCCGGTGGCTCCAGGGAGTGTAATTCCGGTGATTTTGGCCCTGAAGAATAATCGGGACTCGAGGTCATGGTGGGCCAAAAAGGGTAGATTAAAGGAAGGTCGAGAAGGGACCGATCACATCATCTGTGAGTTATGCCCAAGGTACCTTTCGAATATTAAAGTGAACATTCGACATGATGAGGCTCCCGGGGGCCTTGACAGGGGGAATTCCTTCAATAAGAAGTCAAAAAGAAGAAGAGCCTGGAATGGGAATGGGGCCACTGTGATTTCCAAAGAGGGGGGGCCTCGGTCCAGATCTGGAGAAAAGGTTGGGCGTGATACAAAGTGAGATGTGGATTATGTGGAGGCACAAGACAGCTGAAAAAAAGAGAGATTTTGGTTCAGTTTGGATAATTGATGTAGTATAGAACTGTTTAATAGTATTTTAATAATGGTTAATAGTGTAATTTTTTTTATTATATATATATATAATCTGCTTTAATAGATTTAATAGTAGTTAATAGAGTAATAGGCAGGTTAATAGGCAGGTTAAATAGCTCCTGTAAACAATTTAGAGACGGGGATTCTCGCCAAAAGTCCGTGCGGTTCCACAGATCTCCCCCCCTCCAATTCCTGTCCTATAATAATCACTTTCGTGTAAAAAGGGATGACATGGGATTTTCAGTGGAGTTCTTCTTTTTTTCAACGTCTTCGGTTAAGGCTTATTTATCCAATACATTAGTTGCTAATCCTTTCCTCCCAGGGCCAACTTATGCAGGTTCCAACTCTTTTGGCTTCGTGCTAAGCATCTTCTCCATTTCACATCACGTGAGTATCCTTTACCGTTTTGGTCGGAAGTGGAGATGCAGGGGGGGAAAGAGAGTGGGGGTCCCATATCCTCGAATTTGCTAACCCGTATTTAATCAGTATAATGAGCAGATATGTCTGTCACCGCCACCACCTTCTTAGATAACCCTCTGCTCAAGGTGAGTCGCCCAGTCGCCGCCTGCTCGAGATGTCGGACCGCGAAGATCAAATGCGACGGCAAACTCCCCGCATGTTCGGCTTGTGAAAGAGTCGGCAAGGCGACCACTTGTTCCGGAGCAAGTGATGAATTCGCCAAGGGAAAAGAAAGGAGTTACGTCGCGTCGCTGGAAGGATATTGTGAGAAACTCGAAAAGAAGATCAGTCAGATGCGCGCCCGATCAACCTCCCTGTCCGCTGAGGGTGATGGGATTCCGCGGGAAATGTCGATCACCTCCGTCGCGTCCGAAAGTGCATTAAGCCCTGCACACCGCAGAGAGGTTTCGGATATTGACGATTTAGTTGGCGATTTTGGTTTCTTGTTAGTATGACTGAATTGGTTCTTCTGTTTGCCCGCTGACATCTCAAAAGGTCCGTCAATGCAACTTCCCGAGACTTCCACGGCATCACCTCGAGTACCTCCTTCGCCAACCTTCTCCTCTCGGTAGCTCTAGCCGACGCTTGCCCACCATCCTCTCCCTATCCACTACCTGCGCGGCATGAAGCGACGCCGTTGCTACAATACTATTTTGATAATGTTTTTGTTCAGCTGCCTTTCTTTGTTGAAACGAGCTTCTGGACCTCGGTGGATGCCGTATATCAGTCAGGCGGCCGGTTTGCTAAACCGTTCGACCATTGGATGTTGCGCATGGTTCTTGCCATCGCTTCGGCGTCAGTGTCATACCATAACAACGACAAGAGTCATCAAAGGGCATGGGCTCTCGTTTCAGAAGCTTTGAAATATGCCGAGGAAGTCCTGCGCCCTGGGTCAATTTCGGGAATCCAAGCAATCCTACTGCTTGCTCAATATTCCTTGGTTGACCCAGTGCGCTTTCGGAGTTGGTATTTGGTTGGAATGGCTGTCAAGGTTGCGATTGATCTGGGCTTGCATCAAGACCCCCCTGCCGAAGTTTTGACAAATCCCGATCGACTCGATATTCGCCGGCGTGTCTTTCATTGCATATATTGTCTAGACAGGTTCGTTTTCGTTTTGTTCCTCAATTTCCGCCCTACTAATCTTTCGTTACAGAGGATTGAGTCCTGCTATGCAGAGAACCTACTCGTTCTCCGACGGATCTGTGAATGTTGCACTGCCATCAATTACCGCACCAGGCGCCCCCATAGAGCAAACTCACATCTTCCTACGCAGCCCGGCACCCGCCTTGCATATCGTTAAAATCCGACAGATTCTCTCCGCGGGCTACCAAGAAATGCACTATAGCGGGCGAGATCCATCCCCGCAACCCCTGGTTCTCATTTGGACTCTGTGCTGGCGAGCCCGGGAATGGTTCCATCAATGTCCCCCGAATGCTCCCAATCACTTTTCACTTCTATACCGACTTGAATTATTATACACAATTATTATCCTGCTATCCCCTTCGCACCGATATCCAACCCTCCACGACTACAACAAAGCTCTTCTATTCGACCGATGCATGGACTACATCAGCCAAATTCACCAGGTCCTGGAAAATCCTAGTGCCCTGCCCTTCTTGACATACCTGGACATCCAGCGCGTGCACCAAGTGGGTCGATTATTTGTCAATGTCCTGTCCTGCAATTACGACAAGCTCATTAGCGGTACTGTCCCAGTACCCCCGTCCGTCCCCACCGGGACTCCAGAACCGCCAGTTCTGGGCGACGAGGACCTGTTCAATTCCCACGCACGTGCCATCCGTTGCCTATCTTATATTCGCGACATGCTCAAATATTGTGATAGAAAGTGGGACATGCATGGACATCTAGAACAGTTCGAGGAGGAGTCTGCTTCCATAGAGAAAACTCTGATTGAAGGTTCTATGGGCTATATGTCGAATCAGGGAGTATATTCTCAGGACCCGCTGTCGGGGATGCCGCTGGCCGGCGATGCATACCCGGGGTACCATATCGGGTTGTGAAAACACTTTCTTGTAACATTTGGCATATGAATTCGGAAAAGAAATAAGCGTTCTTTTTTTTTTTTTTTTTTTTTTTGTGAAATACCCCTCTACATGCTGTTCATAATAAATAATATATACTACGAATTGGTCTAAATAGATTACCTACGTCCTGCTAGCACCTAACGGGATATTACTTCGAGATGCAGCAGGCACTATGCATAGAATAATGTCTGGCCCTTGTTTGCCTCTTGTCGCTTTTTGAAGAATAAAATGTGTACTACATATACTCCGTAAGGGGTATGCATTTAAGGATCGTATGTAGGTAGAAGGGCAATTGATGAGCGAGATCTTCCTCGATACTCATTACTCCCCAAAGTTATCATACATCGGTATGTGGTGGAATTGCCACAATTCTGAGAGGGTCTGAAGGCAGTACTAAAAATACCCAAAGATCTTGGCCCAGCTGAGAACTTATTTTACTACATGAGATATTCCTAAAAGGGTTTAAAAGTTAGGGATCTCATCCATAGAAAGGTGTGGCGGATCGAGTATGGGTGGTGAGTATATTTCACCGGATATATATCTAGGATCAAACTTAAGCTAACAATATGTCAACAGCTTATACCACTTCGACTTGCTCCCGCTTCAACGGATTTCCCAATAACTATACGGTCCTTTATCCTGGTCTACCTTTATGATGGATATAGCGGTAAGTAATATAGGTAATATAGGTATCGATAAGTCTAATCCCTAGTTATTCTATATTCGTTGCACGAATCTTTAGAGTAATTTCTTTTGATACTGAGCCATTATCTCTAGGGTAAATTTCGAGGTCCCCAAAAGGATCAGGTTGTTTGAGCTCGAAGTATTGAAGGATTCCTCCATTATTCGTGATATTATAAGCGTGTTGTATTCGTCCAAGCGTTAAAATCTGGATCTGCTCGTTACTATATTGGGTAGGTATTTAATTGTCATATGCTGACGTCTCCGGAAGAGACAGGTAGTGACTTGGTGTCCCAACATATTGGTATGGGGTATCCCTCCCACCCCTATACACGCCATCATCATCGACATCCTTCTGGATATCTTGGATCGACATTGTGGATTCAGGATCATCTATCGATATCGCCATTCCATTCACAAATTCAGGCGCAAGTCGGACACTAAGCACGCATGTATCATTCTCTTGATCTTGAACTTGAACCAGGAGCAAGGTGTGATCTCTGACCGTCTGGTCGTCTGCAATATAGAACAATTTTGCTGCTACCTCCTCTCCGGTAACGCCTTCTCGAAGAATACGAATGACATCATCAATGTGCTTCCCGTGGAACACAGACGTGTCGTAGCAGTCATATAAGGAAACGGCGGAGCTTGCATGTTCTTCAATGTCTGAGTCAACTTCAAGGATATAGAGGCTCTCTGGCCGGAGAGCGCTTCGCTGGTAGGCTGTGAAGATAATATGGGAAAGTATCTGTGGATATGAATGAGATAAGAACATAGGATACATAAAGAAGGGTCTTTGTTACATTAGGTGGAATGCGCTGTATACAGACAATGGGGAATAGCACGGCCATTTTCAGCGTCGTTTTGGTCGTCAGTGGAAACAAGTGTTAGACGTTGCGCGCCAACATCAGGTCACAAGAATGACTCACATGACTTGACAGATGGAAACTAGTCATGATATAGGCTCGCTTACGGGCCTGAGACCCCACTAGTACGAAGAACCACTGGTTTCCTACCAATACAAAGTAAGATCTTGATAATGTGAAATGTTTATAGCAACTTGCAGAACTACAGCCACTACAAAGAGTTATAAAAGTATCAGGGATTACAATGTCGAGATGGGTGGCAGCGATCACTTTCGAAAAATCCAAGAGGTTATATTAATCTATCCTAGCATAGGCCATTATATCTATAGGGGGTGGGATCAGTCTATATAGTCCCTATAAGTTCCTACGTCAATCAGTGCATACCACTCCGGCTTGCTCCCACTTCACCATACTACCCAATAACCATACGGTCCTTCATCCTATTGAGGGCCCTATCTCATGGCTTAGCCAACTCACAGGCCCCAGAATCCACGCAAGGTACCTCTATTTTATCTGCTCATGAGAATAATAAGATGAGCCCGTATTCCAAGCCTGAGCCCCTCATAAGGTTAATAGGGGAAATTCCATTTTATGCTTTCGTATGTCCTGGCTGCTTGGTGGGGGGCTTTGTAATATTTGCCTGTATGTACTCCATTATTACGACTGTGGAGGTATACAATATCTGCTGTGGCGAGCTGACCCATGCCAAGATGATCCCGCATAACCAGTCCACATTATGGCAAATTCAGATCCATCTATCATTTAGCGTAGCCTAGTTAAGTTAATAAAATACTAGCGATTTTGGAGTCCAAAGACTAGAGACTTAGAAAAAATTCATGGAAGAAATTAATGTAAGAAGTATTTGCCGAGAATGAGTGAGATGACGACAAATATATTCAAACTTGTCCAGATTAGATGCCCCGGTTCTCATAAACTGGTATAGCTTCTTAATTCCCTCGTTATGGCACAGAAGTGTTGATCTATGTCTTTAAACATAGGAACCTTGGACTTGTGTTCTTCATTAAAATTGCACTAACCCCGAGCAAGCAAAATAGGAAAGTCGATGACTATATCCGAGCCATGAATCCCCTATTTGGCAAGCTGAAAGCGATCTCTGTTGTGGATTCAACATACAGGAACAGCTGAACTCGCCCAACCCTTCATTTACCTGTGGACCTAGACTTAGTGTAGGTCTGCAGTCTTCTAAATGGTTCCACGAGATCCAACCTGACCATTTAAGTCATGTAGTATTGAGTTATATTGCACAATAAATATGACAGTTCATACATCTCGCCCTATGCAATATCTAAAGAGGTTGAACACGATTGTGCAGCAGTTGATGGATGTATATTCCGTGCAAGTCAATTCTCGTTGAGTCCGTGAAGATCGATTGAGTACGTGTCTTGCATTATACAGCCGTACACTACAGTAGTTCGGTTTAGTCCGAGAAATTACTCCTTCCAGAACGAGTGGATAGACCCGGAATAGCCTTTGTTGGGAGCGGATATATCTACTCCGCACGTAGTGGGCAGCGGCCTGATAAACCTTGAGGCCAGCTCGGTGGATTTGGGAGTAGATCGATATGACCCAAATACTATTTAAAAACTAGCTATGAAACCTTTCGTTACAAACCATTTGAAACCCACTTCAGCTATGTATAATAAACTATAATTGTTAAATATCGCTTTGAATTTAAGGAAATTAGCACGTTGTCCCCAAGCATAGAAAGACAAGGATGATTATTGAGTTATCGTATCATTTCCCCCCAATATGATAATTACCCCCTATATTTGAAAGGTATCCAATATTAAGACGGTCATAGGTCGGATTGAAAAATCAATGAATCACGACATGGCATGGGCATACTCCGCATGATGAGGAAAAATTAAGATAACGATAGTCACAAAGGATTCCCAATCTAGTCCAAGATAGTACCAACAAGGGATTTCCGAAGTCCACCTGGTGATCGACAGAGCCTCTCTCATATTGACCCCAACGGGAAGATAGATGGAACATTCGGTGCATCATGTAGGTGTCTCCTATCTAAATACTCCGGATTATTTCCACTTCTAGCCCTCTAGTAGATGTTCTGGATATCTCCAGCCGTTTAAGTTATATGTTGAATGAAGTATGTCAAACGATTATCCCCTATGACGAATATATTGGGGCTTATCAACAATCGCCAGGTTTCCAGGAATACCCCAGTACAGCAATAAAGAAAACAAAGAAAAATACCCCCTGGGCGATGTAAGTGGCACTCAGGTTTTGTGCAACACGATATTGGACCCCAAGTCCCGGCAGTGGCTGGCTGTAGGTACATATCGAGTGAAGTTAGGTTTGACCATCGCCTTTGTCCCGGTAAATCTTAGGGGGTCTTAGCAGCAAATCAATTCCGATCAGCCAATAGAACCCCCGGTCAATTTTCATCGAGAACACGTAACCTGGAGACTTGGGGCTTTTGCAACGGAAAGGGGGTCCCTAGAAGTTTATACTGTGGTCGTTGACTATAAATGGCCAATGGGGCATCTTAGATGGCGGTTAAGTGGAGATGGGTCGGTAGTTATGCCGGCTGATTGGCATTATAGTCCCGCACTATTGGACTTCAAAGCCAACATACGAGCTCTTTCAGGTAGTTTGATTTCCCTATGTGGTCCTCTGCAGATCACTCTTTATTTCTCTAGAGTCCCCCCCCAAATTTCCGCTAAAGATGACATCAGAACTAGAGCGAGGGAAGGAACAAAGAACAGGCGTGGCAAATAATAATTGAGATGATGGGGCAAAGGCCTTGACGCATATGATCCCCCATTTAAAGTGGGTTTAAAATATCAGGGGGTTTGACAGTCATCGAGGTACTACTCTGCATTGTACGAGTATATTCTACCTACATTTAACCGGATATCAACCCTGGACCGGATGGACGGAACCAGATCTCATTACCAAATGGAAAACAAATTTTATGGTTAATCCACGGAGTTACTCGGACTGTGGGTAAACCCTTATAAGCTCACGCTAGCCTGCGCTAGGACCCTATGTCTCCATGCGCCCTAAACATCGGCATATGTAGATCCCAATTTAGACCTCTTATCCGGTAGTCTCCGGATTAACATTTCGATCTTCTAATTGGAATTGTCCATTGAAATTATATGTGAAGATCATATCTCTAGGACTTAAGTGACGACTTCAAGGAACTATATATACTGAAAGTTACGGGATAAGGCTCAGTTACAAGTGCCAGGGTCCGATAATATGCCCTATATTTAAAACGTTTCTTTGCTTTCAAAGGTCCTGGCAATAGTGCCCACTTGAGAAGGACCCTGTGCTGACCCTGGGAGTGATGGCGCCAACTTTCGGCATAATGGAGATGCTAGTCCCACTTAATACTTCTCCAAGACTCCATTCCAAGGTTATATGTGATACTATTGAAATCACGCTAACTATGGGGCTGACCCGCCAGTCTGGGATACTACTTCTTCCGTAACAAGCTGTAAAATCCTGAACAGGGGACAGGGGCAAGCAAGATCGTACCTGTAGATCACATCCGGTCCATAGCATATAAATATAGTCTTTCTCTGCCATTCCCATCAAAGTTTTCTTTTTCTTCTAAGCCTCTTACCACAGTCATTCTCTAAGCAAGCTACAGTCACTCCTTTCGGTTTCTACACACCCATTAATTTCACAATGAAGGCCTCTTTCATCGCTGCCGTCGCCGCTCTGGCCGGCTCTGCTTTCGCTGCTCCCACCCCCGCTGGTGGTCTTGATAGCCTCCTCAATGGCCTCAAGGTCGGTGATATCACCAAGGAGCTCAAGCTTAACGAGCTCCCCGCTGTCTCTAAGCTCAGTGATGTGACCAAAGTCCTCAACCTTCCCTCCGCTGCCTCCCCCTCTGCCAGCAGCGCCCCCGCTGTCCAGGACGGTCACCTCGTCCAGAATCTCGGACCCCAGCTCGACAACATCTTGACCGTTGCCGGCCCTGACGCCACTACCCTCCTCATTGAGCTCTCCCCTGAGGTCTCTGCCCTCGTCTCCGGCCTGGGTCTCGGTGCCCTCGGCGCTCCCCTCGGTTCCATTGTCGCCTCCGCCTCCGGCGTTGGTGCTCTTGTCACTGGCCTTGGCCCCGTCACCGACGGTCTCGTCACTGTTGTCGGTGCTGACGTTGGTGCTCTCCTCATCAGCCTCTCCCCCGAGGTTGCTGGCCTCGTTTCTGGTCTTGGTCTCCCTACCGTTGGTGTCCCCGTTGGTACCGTCGTTGCTACTCTCGGCAAGAACCTCAAGCGTGGCGAGATTGTCCAGGACCTTGCCCCCAAGGTCAAGACTACCCTTACCGTCACCGGCAAGAACGCCAAGAACCTCCTCGTCGAGCTCTCCCCCTCAGTCACCTCCCTCGTTGCTGGCCTAGGTCTGACCACCATCTCCGGCCCCATTGGCTCCATCATCGCTGAGGCTTCTTCCGTCGGTGACCTCATCGTCGACATCTCCGAGCCCGTTGAGAACCTCCTCCACATCGTCGGCAAGGATGGAAAGCACCTCCTCATCCAACTGTCTCCCTCCGTCGTTGCTCTTGTCACTGGTCTCGGCCTCCCCACCGTTGCCACCCCTCTCGGTGCCATCCTCACCACCGTCGCTCAGAACCTGTAAAGTGTTCACAGGCAGTGGTATCATTCCAGTTGCATATGATTGCTCGGGTGTAGGTTCGGCATCGGTCTGACCTCGGTTCTCGCTCGACATATAATCATAACAATTTATTATATTCATGTATACAAGTTCTAGATTATTAGATAGATAATGGCCCTTATAATATTCTTATTATAATGATGGATATGTGCAGACGTCTGGAACCAATTTAAGTAATTGACCAACCGTGCCTAGGTTTGGAAGATTTAACTAGAATCTAGGCATATTCTACCTAACAATCGATATATTTACTCGAAGACTCGGAATTTGAGTCACAAGATGCGACAGCAGACGTAACTTCAATGTAGTTTCAGATCGCACCCGTCGTGATGTCACCGTATGCCGGGACTGAATAGTTGCCAAAACAACTCTCATCATACTTTGCCTTTACAATGTTTTCCTTCTGAGCCTTGATGAACGTCTGTAGCTCGCACCATCCATCATCCCGGTCTCCGCACTCTGAGATACTGCGTCCGAGAGGGATTGTCCTCTGATTCATTACCATATGCACATAGGTTGTTTCACCCCCCTTGGACTCGTAGGGGGAGACCTGAGGATCCCCCGAGCGCCTCGCAAGTACGGGGCGCGGCGCTTTGATCACTTCTATATTGAAGCGTCCTGCGAATGGAACAATATGGCTGACAATCAGCTGGCGATTCGGTGGCGCACTGGAGGTGGGTAGGAACTCCCCAAACTGTGTGAGGCCTAGCGCCGTCAACATCGAGAAGATGGTGGTGTCGTGGCTAAAATCCAAATACAAGTTCTGGTTCAAAGGGAAAGTTGTAGGGTTGGTGTCCAATGTTTCATTGATGGCAGCGAAACCTTCGTCTGGTTGAGGGTATTGGTGCTGCAGTCGGGCGATGAGCTCTTCAACGTAGCCTACGCCCACTGCCCGTCCCGTAGGAGATGCAAACCCATTTCCTCCATAGTAGCTTAGGTCAAGGCTATACTCAAAGCCTAGCCACTCATCTTTGGTAAAGAGGGAGCAAAAGGGGCTGTACCCCAAGCCGACGGTCTCGTATGGACACATAGTCTGGGCGTTATACGTGTCCGCAATTGTCCAGTTTGCGTTGCCCGTCATCGACTGGCGGAATCGATCCGTTGCACGCTTCAGATATTTCTCCTGCCATTGCGTGCTTGCCCACTCTCCGCCCGCTGACCGATCGTTGTTATTATTGGTACACGCCTTATCTCCGGCTAGCGGATTCTTGAATCCAGTTTGTTCGATAAGGACTTCCAAAGTGACATTTTTTGTCCAGTTAGGGCCAAAGAAGCCGTTCAGGAAGTTTTCGGCTGACTGCAACATTCGCACTTGAGTCGTTGTACGGGCGATAAGTGGTGAGGATGGATCATAAAGTCGACCATAGTTAAACCAATTAAGCACACCGCTGTCAAAAAGTTGTTGCCGCCCGAGGGCCGTCAGCTCTTCTTTTCCCAGTTGGTATTCCCAGTTGTTGAGGAACGCCAGGTTGCCAGTGAAGCGAGTCCCATTGCCTAGAAGTTCCGCTATACGGTCTGGTAGAGTGGCCACAGAGGAGCTAGAAGTAGGATATCGAGATCCGTGTCGATGTACCATATGCATCTGTGTAATGTTGCTGCCGGGAGGAAGTGGATATTCTTTAACCCCAAATCCTGAAGGATTTGGCATGTAAGGTCTTGGTCCCATGGTTAGTCACGTAGAAAACGAGCCGGCGAGCTCTACCCATACGTACGAGAGATTTCCCATATATTTGAATATTTCAGCACCATCAGTCTCTCCGATGATAGGAACATCGGTCACCACCGGGGTATTGGGCATATAAAAATCTTGCTCAAACGGAGCCAGGTTTGTCTGGGCCAGAAAGGGTGCGCTTCCAGCCTCAGTAGGACCTGTGTTTACATATATCTGTCAACACTTGAGCAGCCAATTAGTAGCGATGTTAGGAGATATATACCAGCAAACGGACCATAGCTGGTCTGGAAATAGTCTGGAACCGTGGATGTTCCTCTTGGCTTCACGACGCTAGCATTCGCTGCTGTCGCACCAAAAAGTAAAAACTGAGAAGGAATATGCATAGCCGCACGAATAGGTTTGAGTAAGTATACTTAAATCAGGTTTACCAACCGTACTCCTTATTGTTTTCCCCTGGTTTTGTACAACCTTTTATAAACGGACGATCTGGCTCACATTCTGTGGGAGTGGGATGCGGAGTTGAGTCTTGCGCCGAACCGTAGTACTATTCAGTACTCCGTAGTAGCTTTATCATTAGCCGACCCCTGTTGGTGATTTCCGGTCAATTGGCCCCCACGATATAATAAGTGGACAGGATCCATTTAGCGTAGACTTCGGGATGCTTCCAAGGTCATATCCCCGTGGGGCCCCGCATTTTATTTGACTTTCTCAACATTCATCCGGGGCATCCCCACCAGGGCTGCATGTGACCTTCGTATTCCGGGTATCTCGCTAACAAGCTTCTTCCCGCATAAACGACCAATACGCCAAATACTCGTCTATCTATTGGCTAGCACCTTGTTTCTCGGAATCATGTTTCCCTTCCTTTGACAAATGAACCAATTAGAACCATCCTCTGTATGGGTTGGAACGGCATTTGAAAGCAAACCAATCAGCCATGCTTCAAATAACGTCTTCTGTTGACAATGTTCCTTTTCAAAATCAGCTTCACATCAGTGGCCGATCCAAGCCTTTCACATTTAACCAATTAGCTACCCAGAATGCAACTTGGAAATAGCCGACAGTCTCAAACACAGACGAGAGGGTACCCGTTCCCTCGGCATAAATAGCGGTTGTCGACTCCACAAAAGAATGTCCCCGTGTCGCACTCATTATTTCTCCTCTTGCTCATATCGACAACCTGGGATACAGTCATGGCCAAGGATGATATTTCGTCGGCAGGGAATGCCCTGGCGGATATTGAGCGTCAGGATTCTGTGCACGTGGCCAAGACAACCAATAATGCGAAATCAGCTGCTGACGCGGAGCATAAGATGACCTTGCTACAAGGTATCAGAACCTATCCGAAGGCGATTGCGTGGAGTGTTCTCATTTCCACATGTATCGCGATGGAAGGCTATGATATCAGTCTAGTCAATAACTTTTATGCATTTCCCCAATTCACAAAAAAGTACGGTGAATTGATGCCAGACGGCTCCTATCAAGTACCAGCTGCAGTACGTCGAACGAGTCGTTACTCCCTCTTTCTCCTCTCCCCATCCCCCCATTCCTTCCTTGTGGGATCTTCAATGGTATTTCTTTTAGGCATACATGGTATGTTACTAATACCTATATCACATATAGTGGCAAGCTGGCCTCAGCAACGGCGCCTACTGCGGAGAAATCATTGGTCTCTTTATCAACGGATGGGCTTCGGAGCGATTCGGGTACCGCTATACAATTATGACTTCCCTAGCCCTAATCACCGCATTTACGGCAATCTTTTTCACAGCACCCAACATTCAAACCTTGCTTGCGGCGGAAATCCTCGCCGGAGTTCCATGGGGCATTTTTCAAACGCTCACAGTAACCTATGCATCTGAAGTTTGCCCTGTTGTCCTAAGAGGATACCTCACGTCATATGTCAATTTCTGTTGGGGTCTTGGACAACTTGTGGGTATCGGAGTCATCAAAGCAATGCTAAATCGGGATGACCAATGGTCATACAAGATTCCGTATGGATTGCAATGGATGTGGCCAGTTCCTCTCTTTATTGCCATTTTTCTCGCCCCGGAATCACCATGGTGGTTGATCAGAAAGAATAGGGATGAAGATGCGAAGAAGGCACTCCTACGCCTCACAAATCCTGAACGAAACGTGGATTTCAATGCGGACGAAACTATTGCTATGATACGCCATACTACGGATCTTGAAGCGAAGCTTTCAGAAGGGGCATCATACTTGGATTGTTTCAAAGGGACCAATTTACGGCGAACAGAGATTGTCTGTCTTGTGTGGGCTATTCAGAATCTCAGCGGAAATTCCTTCTCCAATTACTCTACATACTTCCTGGAACAGGCAGGATTGTCACCATCCAATTCTTATTCATTCGCGATGGGACAATACGGTATTAACATGGTTGGTGTTCTTGGAGCATGGCTTCTCATGTCTTTCGGAATTGGTCGAAGAGCGCTATATCTTTATGGCCTCTGTGGACTATCCACTATTCTATTTCTGATTGGTTTCCTTGGCTTGGTTCCGAGTGCACATAAGGATCAGGCATCACTCGCAACAGGTTCAATGATGCTCTGCTGGGCATTGTTCTACCAGCTTTCCGTCGGGACAGTGGCCTATTCGCTCGTGGCAGAGATTTCGACTCGTCGGCTGCAAATCAAGACTGTGGTGCTCGGTCGCATCCTATACAATGTTGTTGCCATCATCTGCGGTGTGTTAACTCCCTACATGTTGAACCCTGCAGCCTGGGATTGGAGTAATTATGCAGGGTTTTTCTGGGGAGGAATTTGCTTCCTTTGTGTTGTATACACATTCTTCCGAGTTCCAGAAACAACAGGTCGCACTTTTGCTGAACTTGATATGCTCTTTGAAGAGAAGGTGTCGGCCAGGAAATTTTCCACTACCCAAGTTGAGGTATATGAAAATCAGGTGGAAGTGTTCGAGCACACTGTCAAAGAATGAGGGACTCGTACGTTGTCAGGTCCTTTGTGAGTGCTGAGGCAAGGTATTCTAGTCAATAGTGCCGACAAATGTGCTTTGTTTTATCTTCAATCTATGATCATGGAGATCTTTGAATCCATCTGAAATCAACAGTCCAACCATTTATTCAATAAGAAAAGTGCACTCAGCTGCTTCGCTCGAATATTGTCTATATATCTGCATTTGTATAAAGATGGGTAGTCAAATGGCGAGTCAGCCTCTAGTATCTTAACCCAGTATGTTGAAAGCTGCATATCCATTGTTCTTCACTTTCGATTCAACCCGAACTCAATGAATTGGTGCTACTTCTGTGCCATCTCTTGCCCCGAAAATGCAACAGCATTGTGGGGATGAAGCTAGCACCCATAATCAAAGCAGTGACGATACCAGAGCTCCTAGCAATCCCGACGCTGTCGAACATAGACGTGAACCTAAAATAGCCATTAGTATTATAGCTTTCAAAAATTGAAAATCAGGCTAGCTTACCAGAAAGGCCCAATGAATCCCCATGTCGAGCGTATAAAGTTGATAAACACCCCAACACTACCCGCATCCTGGGGATAAATATCCACCGCATAAGTCGTGAGCACGGTGGTGACGACCTGATTACCGAAGGCAGCAACGCCAGTCCCAACCACTGGTCTAACATCCAATTTCCCAGCGGTAGCTTGCTCAGTGCATACCAAGAAAACGACCATCCCAGCGATGCTCAGCAGGAAACCAATATAGCTCAGCCAAAGTCGGAACTCTGGCGCAGGCTTACGGCCAATCTTCCGCGCACGGGTATTCATCCACATATCTGACATGAACCCGCCTAACTGTTCACCTAATAAAGAGCCGATAATCAAGCCCAGGAACAGTAACCCGAGTTGCTGAGCGTTGAGTTCGAACTTGCGTTGCAGTAGCTGGGGAACCTCGACCGAGTTCATGACTGAGGCAAAGAGGAAGACCATGGAGTAGGCAATAGTGGCAAGCACAACTGGGATGTTTGTAATCAGGGTCAGGGGGTGCCAGAACTCGGCCAATGTAAATGGGGTTGGATCGATCCGTCGGAGGGATAGGTACTCTGTCTTGAACGCAGATGACGGGGATTGCACGTCGGCGCCGATGTAACGGGTCTCGGGTCCAAAGAAAATGTAGAGGATGAACTCGACAGCATTGGTCTAAATATATGATCAGTAATGGGATTTCAGCTTTCCTAGCTGAATACTCACAATGGCCAGAATCCAGTAGATCCAGCGGTATCCAACACGCTGAGTCACAAATCCGAAAATGAAAGGACCAACTGGCACACCCAAGGTCACCATGAGAGTCCAAACGCCCATGTAACGCGCCCTTTCGTGTTTGAAGAATGTCTCGGTGACAACAACACTACCAATGGCCATAGCGGGTGATATAAAGAATGAAACTAAAGCTCGGCATGCCGCCATCGAAGCGTAGTCTGTGCTCTTTGCGCAGCCAATGTTACAAACGCAGCTTAGTATCAGCGACAGGAGGAAAATTGGACGCCTTCCAAACCGGTGAGAGAGCGGTTTCCAGAATAACGGGGCGCCTCCCAGAATTGCGATCTGTAAAGATGTTAAGTAGCTGACTCGTTGGATAGAGACTCCTAGATCTTCCGCAATATCTTCATAGGCACAGATAATGGCTGCGGCGGTGAAGGTACCCATGCAAGCATGGAACGCGACAAGACCCAAGTTAGTCGTTTTCTGTGGTGCTGTCAGCTTGGAATTCGGAAACCTGTGCCATTCCCACCGACCTTCCATGAGGGCCAGTTGTATGGGTCCGCTGGATCCATACTAGGAATCGGATCAAGGTCCACGGTGCCATGTCGTTCAATCAAGTATAATTTGTGCGACTCGGAAAGAAGTGCAGTCGAGTCAGAGAGGCTGGTACCGATCTCCTTCTCCGTGGCGTAATTCAAGCTTTCTTTTTGCTGGGAGGCCATAGCGCAGAATATTATATTATACACCTTGGCAAAATAAAATGCCACGTTGTGATCACAGAAAACAGCGGAAAACATCAGGTAAAAGGGGTCCATTTAACCCCGCAACCTGGGGGAGGATTCGTAATCGGTAGTCCGGGGTAGCAGTGGACTGTAAAGTGAACAAGCGTTTTCAGTGGACGTCCGGTATCCATTCCGTCCATTCTGACGTCCGATAATGGCTTTGTCGGTAGTTATAGAGATAGTCCATTTGCCAGAAAATACGGGGATCGAGTGGTATTTGCGGGTCTCGGTATTACAGAAGTTAAGATATTTAAACTAGTGTATCAACTAGTCCAATACCGGGGATGAACCGAAATATAACAGGCTGGCCGAGGTCTGTCGAGAATGTTGGGCCTAAGTATAGCACTGCTAATACAATACCCCTCCTTGTAGTCTTCGGTGAGATGTTAGCATACTTTGTCTACGCAAGCCGGCTAAACAGATGGCCGGGGGAGCAAACGTACCTAATCCACCAGATACTAAGTACTAACCCCATTGGAGGCTTTGAAACAAGCCAGGTAGGTCTTCAACAGTGGTTTTGATATCACGTCTGGGATTTGAACACTTGAGTGATGGTTCCAGGGCGGTAGTGGTAATAATTCCGGAAAGTGCTGTTGTCCAAAGGCATGCTTTCATATGTGAATCTGCATATCCTTTTTATTTTCTTTATTTATTTATAAGGCCACTCATTCACATGAAAATCCCGCTGGTTCTCGTCTCGGCCAATTTAACAAATCCATGTTTGAAACGGTTACTCAACTCCATGGCTCGTTCATAGTATTCCGGCCGGACCAACTAGCGATATCGTTGATATCGGAATAAATTTTCTTCTCCAATAGGTTCTTCTAGCAAGATATTAGCCGCCGAGCCAGACGCCCTTCGACCAATGAGAAATTACCCGTTCCATCCTCCAATGCTCTCCAAAGGGGGATCGTGGTTGGTTGTGGCATCTGGGTTCTCGTTCTAGTTAAGCAAGGGTGGTGACTAGTGAGTGGGAAAATCCTTTTTGAACTGCGACCTTGTATTAAAGAATTGGTCTTTGTGTGTTGATCTATTTTAGGTGGCTGTAGCTTTGAAGAGCGGATCTTTCTTAAGTTGAATGTATCTGAACTGGGTTGGCAAGGTGCATAACGGCCAAAAGTTGCATCTAATTTCCAAGCTACATGTCCCAATTGGGCCTAGTTTTTGTACCGCCTTCGATTTATAGGGTCTCTAGATGTAGTAAGTGCTTAATTGTTTCAAGATTAATATCAAACAATATTTTTTGCCTATTCAGATATGTCAAAGCACTCCTAACTCACGTTGGCTGACGACGAAAGATAACACCTCCGATGCGGAAAGTCTTGCATATATTTTTGAACAGTGAAAAATTATTTCTACAATACAAGTTCGTATGAAACATTTATTCCGAACGACATCATTCCCAGCTATACCCAAGCCGACACCCATCTTATTAAGCTACCCAGAACGTGGATAGCCAGTGAAGGGCTACTTCGTTGTCGGATACTCTCGATTCGCCGGGCAACTGATAGCTTATGCTGATTTTCAAGATCCGCAGGAGTATACCCATCATTGTCAATGGATGTTGCATCAGCGCCAGCTCTCAATAGCAGCTCCACAGCTTGCATGTTTCCATCGGCCGCCGCCCAGTGTAAAGGTGTCCGTCCAGAGATGTCCCCCTTTGTGAAATCTGCCCCGTTCGTGACAAGCAGGTCAATTATATTAATATTTTGGGTTTGCATTGCCCAGTGTAACATGGAATAGTCGCCCGTCGTGATAACCGAGATATCAGCACCACTTTCAAGCAAAAGTCGGACAATCGAAGTATTTCCCTTGGCAATAGCCAAATGTAATGCTGCCATGCCGTTTTTTGTCAGAATATTGGGACTTATGCCAGCATCTAGTAGCAAAGATGCCGTGTTGTATTGATTACTTTCACAAGCATAGTGGAGAGCAGTATATCCTCGGCTGTTTTGAATAGAGAAATCAAAGTTTTTGGTGAGCAGTGACTCGATAATATCGTCCCATCCGTTGATAGAGGCTATGTGAAACATGGTATCACCTGCTTCGTCCTTGACTGCAGTCCAATATTTCGGTTTGTAGTCGCGATCCATGCCCGGAATGGCTCGAGCCATGTGGATCAAGTCTAACGGGCCAAGCAGCCGAGCTATGAGGAGCAGGATCTCTGCTGGGAGAATGGGGTTTGGGTTTTGCATTATCAACTGGACAAAATGGCTCGATTGAAAAATTGAGTTGAGGTGCAATTGAGAATTCATGTGGGTGAATTTACAATGCGCTTTGAAATCGCCTTTCTCCAAATTGGGGAAACCCGAGCTTACCCAAGCGCTCTCGATAGTTAGCTCTATCTGCCAACAACACCTAAATCAAGCAAATCCAGTCATTGTGGCATACCATACATTATCATATTGCCAGATGTTTGACAGAATCAACAAAGTCTACAGGTAGAATCTACCTGGGAGAAATATAACTGCACCGCACAGGTACCCACAAAAACATTACATTCTGCACGGTGTTACTGCAAAGCAGCCTCAATATCCCCAGCTGTCCTTCGCTTGTATCAGATTTTCTACTGTATAGCTCCCTATACTGATTGTTCCACGGTCTATTTGCTGTCCGATCTTCGGGTACGGTGCCTTTAACGCCTTCCGATCTTCTTCATCGCAATTTAGCCGTATATCTTTCGGGTCCAGATCAATAGGCCGACACAACATCCATTTCATTTTCGATTAGAAAGCTTTGGGTAAGATGTGAACACACTAGAGATGTAGTAGTTACTAGTTATATATATTTACATAGAACGTCCCGCAAACATCAAAGGTTCGAGCACTACTCCGTAGTTCGCACTAAGATACAAAATTTTTTTAAGTAGCTTCCAAAAATAGAGTAGCGTAATAGCAGGGATGTACAATGTAGGGTAGACTTGTAGATTTTATACCTCCATTACCTCCTTAATATAGTTACGGGACGGAGTACATGAGTGTAGCAAATATAATCCCTGCCTAAATGCCGCGTCTTATCTCCAGCCTATCACCCAGAAATAGCAATAGCAATAATATAAGAGCAACCAAATTGCCCTAAATCAGGGTCTATCTCATCATGTCGAAAATAATACAAATGAGAATTATTACTGTTATGCTTATCTTCGCTGACGAAAACGTGTCCAATAACGTTTACTGAACCTTTGGTACGTACCTTAGCCCCAAATTGAGACGTCGGCGTCCTATCAGAAACTCACCCGAGTCCGCGCCATCGGGGTTTCCCCGAAAAAGCCCCGATTTTATTTCTTCAATTAAGCCAATTGCGATCAATCTATACCAACTAAAGAACCTTGGAAGGTCTATCTCTGACTTTCTCCGCCACCTCCTGCCGTTTTGCCTCGTATCTCCCTCGGCTTTAGAATATATTCCCTTCCTCTAGTTGTTCCCCCCCGGAGGCTTTTTTTCGCTTCTACATGTTCTTCTCCTGGCGACCCTGTTCTGGCGCCATGTCTTTTTATAATTGCGAAATACCGCTGCTTCCACCAGCGATGTCCTCATGTCGCTTGCCGACATCCCCGGCAGCAATTTCAGCATCGCTGATCGCTCCACCCAGGACCGATTTGCGGAGCGTACTGTAGTTGCCTGCCTCATCGCTATTGCCTGGTATAATGCCTTGGAATTGATCGTTCTATGCTTCGCCACCTTCAAGCGATATGGCGGGTGGTATTTTTGGTGTCTCCTCATCGCCTCTTTCAGTATCATCCCTTTTGGTCTCGGATATCTCCTCATCATTTTCGACATATACAGCAACATGTTCCCCGTGGCGATGGAGCTAGTTGCTTGGGTTGGGATGGTAACGGGTCAATCCCTGGTTCTCTGGTCTCGATTGCATCTTGTCTGCTACAGTCCAAAGGTCCTCCGCGCTACTCTCGCCATGATCATCGTCGATGCGATAATCCTACACATCCCCGGCTCCGTCCTCGAGTTCGGCAGCCATTCGAACAAATCCTCCCTCTTCACCAACGGGTTCAACATCTTCGAGCGTATCCAGTTGGTCGGATTCTCCATACAAGAAATCATCCTCTCCGTCATTTATTCCTGGGAAGCTGTGCGACTATTGAATCTCCGCCCAAGAGGCCACTACCGAGGCACCCTGGTCCAACTCCTGATCGTGAACGTAGCCATGATTATGATGGACGCCGCCATTATTGGAGTACAATACTCGGGTCTTTTCGACGTCCATGTTACCCTCAAGGCAATGGTCTACAGCGTCAAGCTCAAGCTAGAATATGCGATCCTGGGAAAATTGGTACACATCACCGAGGTGGGTGGCAGCAGCTCGGCCCGCACAGACCTGTCGGATTTCGTGGATCTTTCCTTGCATAATGCTCGCACCACGCAGCCAGATAGCGAGATGTTCACAGATAATCCAGAGTACGGCCCGCACCTTCGTCGTACGCGAGTGCCCTCTAAGGGCTCGTCCACTGACCCGCTAAGAAGGAGTATCTCCGCTGCTCAGAGTCCGAGTTTGAATAACTCCGACTACCCATGATGATTCTACATGTAAATAACGATTCTAGATGATTTTGTACATAAAAACTACTCAGTATATAATACATGACATACACCATACTATATCTCACCAATCGAGTGTCGAAATGTTTCACCTATAATGAGGGGAAAGTAGTACCCCCCTCACCCCTCATCTCGCATCGTCGGATACCGCCACGAATATCAAGATGTGAAATCGAGCACGATTTAATAATACACGATCCCCAAACCCACCGAACCCACTCAGACATCCCCATCCACCGACCCACCTATACCCAAATCCACAATCCAAACCATACCTCGCAATGACTACTCCCAACCCAACCTTTTTGACCCCCTAACAAAACGCCAACTCACCGCGGCATCCCACGCAGCCCTCGTCCACCAAATACAAGCACAAGACTTACACAAAAAGCGACCCTTTGCAGCAATCCTCCTAGCCCCAGACAACGAAACAATCCTCCTCTCCTCGAACTCTCTCTCGCACGTGCGACACGCGGAAAGCGAGCTCGCGCGCAACGCAGCAGACAACTACGACTGGGCGTACCTAGCACACTGCACGCTGGTGTCGACCTGGGAGCCGTGTGCGATGTGCGCGGGCGCCATCTACTGGGCGCATATTGGACGGTTGGTGTATCTGGCGTCGGAGGAGGCGTTGCGGGAGGTTGTTGGTGTTGGGAATCCGGAGAATTTGACGTTGGATTTGCCTTGTCGGCGGGTTTTTGAGAAGGGGCAGAGTGTAGTTGAGGTTATTGGGCCGTTGGTTGAGGAGGGGTGGGAGGGGAGGGTTGTGGAGGATAGTAGGCGGTATTGGGGAGGGAAGGCTTAGATATTAGTCTTGGTTGGGTATGGCTGGTGTCCTTTTCAAGTGGTGTTTGTGTACAGCATATAAAGCTGTTGACATATGTATGGTAGTGGGCCTTGAACTATACTGTGGCTCGGAACAAGTTAGGGATTAGTGGTCTTTTCATGGGGCTGAAAGTGTGTTTTGCTGGTTGAATAATGTACCAAGGTAGTTATGCCTTGGAGCCTGGTGTTCCAATGTTGGTATTGGTGTCGGCTGATGATAGCATGATAACCATCTACAGTCATATAATGAGAGCGCCACATACTTCATAATATTCCACTGCCTTGAAAGCTTCTGGTAAAGTCAATTTCCTAAGAACCTTATCAAACAGGGCTCGAGCACCATCATATGTTGTTCGGGACGTAGGACGAGTTGAATGGCCGAGAAAAGAGATACCTAAGACTTTCCCTTTCTGGAGTCGCGTAAAAGCGCTAATATTAGTGTTCCAAGAGAATAATGGCCGACGATCATGTTCTAGGAGAGGGCCTCCACTGAGATATGATTTGGAATCATAGGCGTTCGTTATATTTCATGTGATCGGCCAGTGACTTGCACATGCGATTTACATCTGTGAATCAGACTCGATCAAACTCGATTGGACTTCAAGATAAAGACCTTGGGAGTGTGCCCCGGTGGAAACAGAATGGAGACGCTATTCTCAATCTAGTAAGGAGTGGGTGTAGGTACTGCCCCATAAAGCCACACCCCTTTTTTGGTTTTTGGAGGTGGCTGAAAGCTTGACCGACCTTCTAGAATCGTAACTTGGACCTCCCATGTTCAACGCGTTAAACCCATTATCACACCCAATATGACACCTCTAATAAGGGTGTGAGTGCAATCAAGCTCTGGAGTACCGTCTCCCTTATGTCACATTGAAAATCCGAAGTGTTGACGTCAAGTTGAGCAGAGTCTGATATCGTGGACCCACATGGATCCATGGATGATGATGGAGCGCGTGTGCCAAGACCTCGATCTTGTCAAATTTGTAGATCTTGGGGTTTATGGGATTTCTGTTTAGGATTTTACATTAATAGATTAATAGAATTGGAAGCTATAGCTCTAGCGTAGAGAAAAAATAATAATACTAGCCTTATGGATACGATGAAGTGGATGACGTGGATCTGGAGCTGCCGGGGGTACGTACGAGTACCCATATGGAGGTTAATATGACCTTACATATGACACAACTTATGTACCCAAATCCAATCAATTAACCACTTGAAATTTGTTCTAGGTTGTGAGAGAGAAAAAAAAAGAAGAAAAAAAAAGTACAGAAATTACATGTAGGAATAAGAGACTGGCGAGGGAGTAGATGTCCGTGTTCGTGGCCAAAGAATTATGCCACGACAGTGACGTCAAGTGTCGATCACCAAGCTATAGCCAAGTACCTACTCCGTAGGCAGTTAGGTAGTAGCTCTGTCTTTAGGTAACACAACTCAATTTTTGCCAACTCCCTTAGGGCACGATCCTGCTCATCATAATGGCGCTATGTCCCCTGATCTTTTATATTCCGTCATTCCCTCTTGAATTTTCTTCCATATTTTCCTACATTCCTGTGATACCCCTTGTTGTGTGCCTATACAGGTTCAATAAATAATTAATTCTCAATGTGAGTCTTGACCCTTGTTTGTCATTAATGCAAACAGCCCCAATCTCTAACCCTGTCGTTAGTTCATACATAATAATATCTTCATCTTTCCCATCTCCTCATCATTGGTCTTGGAATACATACTTCATCATGTCTGTGAACGTACCCACCAATCCAAAGCAGAAGGAGAAGGTATGTGGGACAGTGCAACCCCAATTGTAATCACGGCCACTGACAGGGAATCCCATTCTAGGATATCAACCAGAAGCTCCAATTCTTCGGTATCTACCATGGTAAGTTAGGCCTCAGGTCACCCCGATTGATCATTCCTGTACTAACTGTCTCCCGTTATAGCTTTCAAGAATAGCAAGCTCCCTTCGGTCCGTCGCAAATTATCTTCCATCGCCATTAGCCTGGCCACAAATGCTAACTAGGTCTCTTCCTCCCACAGAACAAGCAATGCGACATCGCTTTGAACTCCGCCTTGAACTCCAAGGCCCTCACATCTCCCCTAAGGAACTCTCATCCGACGGAAAGACCCTGGTGGCAGATCTGCGCAATGTCATTGACGCAGCCAAGAAGATGCTTTTGGTCAAGAATGAGGGTGAACTCCTGCAAGACTTTATCTGGCAAGCCCAGAGGATTTCAGCTGGCAGTGTTGATGCCAAGCGCCCGGGACTCCCCGTCGACAAGGAGACCGGTCAGCAAGATGCTAGCAAGGCTGTCGATGGCCTGAAGACCCTGGGCACACTCATGATCACCAACGGAGAGTTTAGAAAACTATGTAAGCAAACTTCCGTTCGCTGATCACGAGTATTCCCTAACAATGCGCAGTGAACGATGCCATGACTCTTGGCAAGGACATTGCTGCCGATGCTTCTCAAAAGGCCGCCAACAAGGTCCGCCCCTCGGAAGAGGAGCTTTCGCAGATCGACCAAGCTGCAGAGGATAACGTGTGGCACGAGAAGCCCAATATCTCCAAGGATGACTTGAAGTCCAAATTCAAGAAGAACAAAGCTGTATGTACCCTTGATGCGCCCTCAATTCGCACATACTGACACAATCTTCAGGAGAAGGGAAGCGCTGCCTCCGCTTCCGCTGCGGTTGCCGAGGAAGAGACTGGCGTGTCACCGCAGAACAAGAAGAAGGAATATTCCGACAAGGCCAAGAACTACGTGTCCGAGAAGATTCCCAAGGAGCGTCGCGAGCAGACTGTCTGGCGCCTCAAGAAGATGATCATTGAGATCCAGGGTCATGCTGACTGTAAGTAAGCCAGAATGTATACATCGATGGCGAAGATCACTAACAATTATGCAGACCAACAAGCCGTTGAGACATTGTTGACCATGGCCGAGCAGTACGCCGGACACACCAAGAACGTCACCAAGCAAGGTGGTAGCTCTGCCCGTGACGTCCTGAAGACCGACAGTGTTCAGGCAGTTCAGTACAACTTGCGCACTCTCATCGAACGCTTTGCCAACCACACCTCTCTGGACAGCTTCTTTGAGTCGCTAAACACCATTTACAGCGATGCTGAGAAGGACCCCGAACTCCGAAACTGGTTCACAAACGTCGACAACTTGATTCGGTATGTGAATTGGAACCCTTCCCCCGGGATAAAGACTGACCAGATATAGCAAATCTTTGCGCGAGCAGGGCTTCATCATGGAGGACGAATGCAACCGCCAGTGGAACGAGATTTACGATAAGGGCCGTTACCTCCTGCGTGAGCGTTACCGCGGTCACTCTGACCGTATTGTCGACGAGGTCAAGTTCTTGGCCGATCAATTCGAGAAGGACCCGCAAAACCAAGCCCTTGCTGAGTCGTTCCAAAAGCTATTCAGGGATCTCGGCCACGATGCCAATGGCAAGGCCACCTTCAAACCAGATCTCCTTCGGGATCTTCGCGATGTCATCATCCCCGGCATTTTCGAGAATGTCCGGTACATTCCAATTCCCCGTATCGAGGTCTCGGATCCCATGGTTGATGTTGTGGTCGAGAACCTGTGCATTGAGGGTGACAACTTGATGCCCAACGTCGTGGAGTTCGGCAGCGACAACTACTTCCGCTGGGGCCGCAAGAAGATCAGCAACAAGCGTGATAATAAGATCATGATTTCCATGTCTGGCATCCAGATGGATCTGCGCGACGTCGCCTACTACATCAAGAAGAAGGAGGGCTTCCCCTCTATCACCGATCGTGGTGTTATGGATCTCATCCTCGCTGGTGAAGGTCTCAGCGTCAAGATCGCTGCTTCTACCGCCCAGAAGAGCGACAAGGAGCACTTCTTCAAGCTGGACAAGGTTAACGTGAGCATCAAGAATATGGATATCAAGCTGAAGAAGTCCAGCCACAAGCTGCTCTTCAACACCTTCAAGCCCATGCTGTTCCGCGTGGTCAGACCTGCTCTGCAGAAGGTGGTCGAGGGCCAGGTCCGCGAGGCCTTCCGAAAGGGCGACCTCTTCGCCAAGGAAATCCACACCGAGGCCATTCGTGCCCAGGAAGCCGCCCGCGAAGATCCCGAAAACGCGCCTTCAATCTTCTCTCGCTACGCCGATGCCGTCCGAGCTCGCACCCAAGCCAAGGCCAAGCAGGCCGAGGGCGCTGCCAAGCGTGACACCAAGGTCCAAACTGTCATGACCCTCCACGATTCCATCTTCCCTGACGTCGAGCTTCCTGGCGCCGTGTCTACCAAGGCTACCGAGTACGCCGACCTGGCTGCCAAGGGCGAGCGCTGGGAGTCCCCCATCTTCAGCGTCGGCAGCGCATCCGAGTCCACTGGCATCCCATCCGGCGGCCCTATCACGAACAAGTCCGCTGCTAGCACCCAAGGTGCAAGCGCCGCCGGAGTTGCTTCCGCCGCCGGTCCCTCTGGCGCCACCGCAGCCGCCGCTTCTGGCACTGCCAATGGCTCTAACGGCAATAAGATCTCGGAATACCAGTCCCGTGGCTTCTCCGATGAGGTTGACCAAGCTTTCGTCAATGGCAAGCCCGACACCCTGGGCGAGGGCATTAAACATGCTGCCAACGGCACTAATGGTGTTAACGGCACCGTCACCAACGGAACTTCCATCAACAATATCGGAACCACCGTCTAAACTGAATATGGCCAAAATCGTTGTGACATTTGTGTAACGTCGTTTTCTTATGTCTCTTGATCTTTTTGTTTTTGTTATGATTTCCCCTTGTGCACTACTACGGATGTTTTACTTTTTTGTACTAGTATCAGTTAACGGTAGCCTAATATACCATGCCACCGTTGTCTGCGTTGATCATTTCTGAGTAAATTTGAGCCTTGGTCAAATATAAGAAACTTAAAAAAAGTACTCCAGACCCGTGGAAGATAAGAAATAAGCTTAAAAGTCATTCATTGTCGTCTATAAAAAGAAGTAAACTGAACTTCCACTATACAAGAAGCCCAGTGAAGGTAAGATCTCCACACGTTCCTCCCTTTTTTACTTTTGGCGTCCACTTTCGTATAAAAAAATCTCGTATCAAACCTCAAATCACAAATGTCTACATACCGTCTACATCTGATCAAAGTACTTTTGCCATCCCAACTCGCGCAACTTGGTACCCTTCAACTCCATGTTCTCGGCACGGGCAGCCTCGGCGTACGCCTCGACCTTGCGCTGGATGGCCGGGTCGAAAGAGCCAAGCACACGCGCAGCGAGGAGGGCAGCGTTGATGCTGTTATTAATGCCGACAGTGGCAACGGGGACGCCTATCGTGAAATGTTAGATATAGATCTAGAAAAATTGCAAATGGGTGTAAAAGATGAAAAAAGGAAATAACGTACCACGCGGCATCTGGACAATGCTGTACAGACTGTCGACACCGTCGAGCGAGCTTCCCTTAACCGGGACACCGATAACAGGGAGGGCAGTATGGGCAGCTGCCATACCGGGAAGGTGGGCAGCACCACCAGCGGCAGCGATGATCACCTTGATACCGCGCGAGGCAGCCTTGCCCGCATACTCGGCCATGTAATCGGGAGTGCGGTGAGCAGAGGTGATCTCAACCTCGGGCTCGATGCCGAAGTAATCACGCAGCAGCTTGAGACCAGGGACGAGGGTCTTCAGGTCGCTGTCGGAGCCCATGATGACGGCCACAGAGGGGACGGGCTTGGAGGGACCCGAGGGAGCAGCCTTGGTTTTGATATCGGGGCGCTGGGCGCGCATGGTGTCGACGACGTCAACGAGGGGCTGGATCATGGTCTCGGCTTCGTGCATGGTCGCGGCGGTGACGGTGACGTGGCCCATCTTGCGGCCAGGCTTTGCGGCGCCCTTGCTGTAGAGGTGGATGCTGGCGTTGGGGATGGAGAGGGCTGCTTCGGTGGCCTTGAGGTGGGAGTCGGGGGTTGCGCCGCCGATGATGTTCAGCATGATTGAAGGTTGGAGAAGCTCAAGGCTCTTGGGTGGGATGGGCAGGTCGAGGATCGCGCGGATGTGGCTGTCGAATTGGGACAGTGCGCAGCCTTCGATTGTCCAGTGGCCGGAGTTGTGGATTCGGCTTGCAAGCTCACAGAGCATGAGGCTGTTGTCTTCGAGGAGGAACATCTCCACGCCGAAAGCGCCTTTACCTTCGAAGGCGGAGACGGCTTTGCGGGCGAGAGCTTGCGCTTGCTGGTTGATGGCATCGGAGACGTTGCGGGCTGGCGCATACACCAGCTTGCATATTGAGTCCTCTTGGACGGTTTCAACGGTGGGGTAGGAGAGGACATCATCCTTGGTCTTGATAACCATGACGGCGAGTTCCTGTAAAAAAGGTATTAGAGACGTGGACGGTGTGATGTTCCAACTGCAGGTACTAACCATCTTGAAGTAAGCCCATTTCTCGGAGTAGAGCGGGCGGTCCTTCAGAGCCTCGAGGGCCTCGGGAATATCTTCTTTGGAGTTGACACGGAAGTTTCCTTTTATACTGTCAACAAACCTGTATACCCTCTCGGTAATATATATGACTCACCGCGTCCATCGTATGCCATAGTCTTCGACTTCAACATCATCGGGTAGCCCAACTCCTCTCCGATTTGAGCCAATTCCTCAGGTGTGTTGTTCACCAACTCCCGGTGTTCGGCCATAGGGATTCCATATTTGCGGAGGTGCTCCTTCTGGTTGAACTTGTTCTGAATTGTCCGGATAGCCTGCCAGCTGGGCTCCACCCGCACCTTCGACGCAACCTCCTCGAGGGCGTAGGTGTCAACGTGCTCAATCTCGGCAGTGATGACATCGCAGGTCTCAGCCAGTTTGCGCACGGCATCGGGCTCTTTGAAGGAGCCGGTCACATGGCCGTCGTGGGCACTGATCTGCTTGGCGGGGGAGTTGTCGGCGTCTAGGATATTGGCCTGAATGTTCAATCGGTTGGCGGACTCGACAAGCATGCGGCCAAGTTGGCCACCGCCGAGGATTCCGACCTTAGGCGAGTTCCACATTATGTCGGATCGAAGGGATAAATGAGTCGATTGATCGAGATATGTTAAATTAGAGATCGTCGGTGCCCCTCAACTCCGAAAATTCGCGGAGAGTCACATGACGCTATCGATAAGCTCAGGCCAATCACCGGTGTGGACTGCCATTGTCGCAGCTTCGACTCTCTTTCTCCATGCACAGCTGACTGGACAATGTCTCTGGGTAGGTTTACCATCACAGTCTCGGTCTCAGTCTGAGTTGCAATGGTCCTCGCTAATATCAAAATTACAGACGAGGAAGCTCTCCAAACAGCCGCCAATGGCGGCGCGATCGAGTTGTACGTGAAACTGTCATTCCAAGATCCCCAGACACTTTTGAGGCTAACGCGCTGGTATAGAGAGAGATGGAGCGGCATGGCCGGACCACTGATTGAGCGACTAGAATACGTACGCTAAACCTCGATGCCCCTAACCAACTTATCTGACCAGTAGCTCCAGATCGTATACAATGTGTTCCCCATGCCTCAAGCGCGCTCCGAACCCATCGGCCAGCAACCATTCCCCAACCATTCTTCCCAGGCAAATTCCATCCCCGAGAGCAGCAACAAGGAAAATACCTCCCCCACCGATATCCAAACTTCACCTCAGGCAGCGCGAACTGGCTCTCCCCCGTCGAGTGAGCAAGTGCCAGACTCACAGCCCCAGCCATCTGGTGCAAGCACGGATGGCCGGCTTCCACCCCCGCTTGCATTTCTTCTAAGCGCCATCCGCTCGTCGATTAAATCATTCTTTGAGGATAAACCTCCACACACCATTCAGAGACTCGCAGAGCTAGTCCTCTACCCGAAGAAGCACTACAGAACGTTGCCCGCATATCTTCGTGCTGTTGATCGCGTTGTCTCAGTGACAAGCTCCGCAGATATTTTCCCATTTCAAACGCCGGCTGTCACGAATGCTCAATCAAATGGACTGGTGCTTCCCGGCAATAGCAGCGGGGTATATATGGCCCCGGACTTTGCCCAAGGTCTTGGGAGCGATGAATCGCTGGGTGGTGCACTGCTTACTCCGATCCCGTGGTTAACTAATGCCTCGTTCGAAGGCGAGGATGCCAATGGAGATGCAGGCATACTAGTTGAGGGTAATTCTATCCACTATCACCGAACTATTGGTTTCTTATTCACTGACGCTTTCCCCTAGGCACTGAAGCTTTACCTACACAGCCCGAGGAACAGGGAACCACAACTCTAGTACCCACCGAAGCCGAAGAAACGGCTGATACCACCTCACCAGAACCATCTGATGAGGTCCCTCACGCCCGTGGTCCAATCGTGCTTGGTGTGCAAGACATGGGTCTACAAGATGGTAAAGGCGTCGAGATGCGTCTTGCCACAGACGGTGCCGCCGATACCACTGCTACCCAGGCAACCGAACAACAGGAAAAGGCTGAACCAACTGGCGACAAGGACGGTGATATCGTCCTCACAGACACCAATCCGAAAGAAGGGGAAGAACCTCAGAATGAAGGTCCTTCTACAGAGCCCCAAGCAGGCACTGCAGAGTCTGAACCAAGTGGTGATTTATCCGAAGCGCCGGACGCCGAGAAGAAAGCATAAGCGAGTTATTGGTTCGCAATATGGATTTGTCTTTTTCTCTTTTGATTTTCTCCGTTGGTTTTATCCTGGATTCTAGCATCATGAGTAACGACCTACAAGATTATATCGATCAATTTTCAATGGCTTTTGCAATCTGTACATCTCTGGATACATATGTAGCTGTGTATTTATTCCAAGGTTGGGATATAAAAGATGACGTGAGATACGATTGGATGGATCCATGGATAACCCCGGGGCTAGTACGGGTGACCTCGGGAAGTATGGAAATTGGTGTTGTCAATTAGGGCAAGCACGATCATCCGCACCTGACATGTGATTAAGACGATATCTTACCTGTCCCATGACCTCGGGGGATCTCTTCCAACCTTGGAAGGTTATTGTTCAGCACTTACCAAAGTACCATCCAGTCAGAGATGGCTTAACAATAACCCCAACTGAAAGTCACATTCTGCCCCGTTATCGGAGGTTTCTCATATATCTATCTCATGGAAGCCACATCACAGACATCATAGAGTCTTTTGCCAGAGACCGTGTTCACTGTAGAACCCCAAGACACTGGATTTCACCTCCAAGGTTTAATCGAACATCCAACAGCAATGGATCTTACCTCTGACTCAAGACTCGATCACAACCAAGATGCATGGCGACAAAATCGAGAGAAAGAATCATTGATGCATCATTGACTAGGGAGAGAAAAAAGACACCTCGATAATTACTTCAACCCTAATCATTGCAAACAAACTGTATCGCCAAGTAATGTCACATATCAGAAATTGAACAACATGAGAATGAGGAGATGGCACACATCCAACTATGTAGCTAACATCCATTCCATCTATAACTAAACTACTAGGTGTAGTCAAGCCACATATGCAAACCAAACAAACAAAAATTTAAGCATCAAACGTGGCGGACGGCACAACGCCAGCCACAAGGCCAGATCCAAAGAGGCCCAGAACTCCCCGCAAGGTCTGGGCCCTCCTGGACCTTGAAAGGGCATTAAATACTTAAATACTTTAATCGTTTGGAATTCGGTCTAGACCTTACAGCTTATTTCTCCCCCTGCAGTTCGTCCGGCCTGATGGAATGCGGGTGATCCTGGTGGTCCTGGTGGGATTAAGTGGGGATATCCCAGTGATTCAGGCTAATTTCTATTATGAGTTTGGTTTAGTCCCTCTCGCTGGGCGCTGGGCGTCGGTTCATACGTATGTTCGTACGTACTATGTTTTGTTCCGTTGGTGTACTATGTATTCATATACGAGTCCTTACAAGACGCGTCCTTACAAAACAAAAAGGTCTCTGCAAGATGAGAGCCCTGGAACGGCTGTGGACCCGATACCAAGTGCCCCTACGTGGACAGAGGCAGGTAGAATGTGAGGAAGGTAAAATAATAATAATATATTTGTAAATATGTACCTGACGAAACAATCTCTCCGGCCTTGGAAATGCATGAACCCACGGTGGATATAGCTGACGCATGTAAAATCGCACACAAATCGCCACCCAAATTTAAATCAAACCCAACGCCGGAACCTGTAAAAGGTGGGAGAGAACTGCGGCGATTCAAGACGTCCGCGAAGAGTAGCAAAATGTACGATTTGGAATTTCGAATTCGAACCTCGTTATAGACAAGTGGGAATCATGAGTCAATGGACAGGCGGAAAGGTGAAGTATAAAAGTAAAAAAAGAGATAAAGTAGTCGAAGGAGGTGGGTTTAGCCAGGTCGGCCAGCTTGCACGGCAAGCATTGGCTGAGGTTGGGAGTACATGCGCTGGCGTTTGGGCATGTTGGGATTGTCGGCGGCACCGCCCATTTCAGAGATTTGACGGCGATGCGGGGGACGAATAGGAGCACCCCCGGTTGGGACTCCTACTGGTGGGGCTGGGTACTGGACGCCGTTCTGATCAACAGTGTAGGCGGCCGGTGGTGCTGTAACATATGGCCCTTGAACTGCTGGCATATTCGGTGGAACAGCTTGCATATTTTGGAATTGGCTTGGTGATTGCCAGTTAGTCATTGATCCAGCGGGCGACTGGCCTGGAGAGCTGTCTTCTTTGATCGACTGGTTTGCTGAACTTTGAGTTGCAGCTGCCATGGTCACAGCGGCTGCGGAAGGTCGTACTGGCTCCATTCCTGGATTCTGTGGCGAAATCTTGAGATGATCCAAATGTCTCTCGAGCATGTCGAGAAGACTCTTGCGGGTGAATGGTTTAGGGAGAACATCATCCATTCCTAGCACGGGTTAGTGGAAGATCTTGATCCAATCTTGGATATTTATCTTACCATGTTGGAAATAAAGCTGGATGTCGTCGCTTCGGATGTTCGAGGTCATGGCGATGATAGGTGTGCGATCAAATTGGCGAATGAGATGGCATGCCGATACACCGTCCAAATTCGGCATAATGATATCCATCAGAATCAAATCGTATTTGGAACCACCCTGGATTTTGTTTACAGCCTCCAAGCCGTCAAACTATTGGAAATGTTAGTAATCTTGTGCGGGTCAATAGGACAATGACCGATGACGTACCGCGGTATCAATAACACACGAGAAAGAGTACAGAAATTTGCCGCCAATCTGCCGACAAGTGGCGTCGTCCTCAACCAAGAGGATCTGCGGGCTGCGCACCCAGCCAGGGTCCACATTCGTGCTCTTCTTCCGGTTGTCGGGAAACTGCCGACGAGCATCTGAAGTATCGATCTCTTGCTTGGCGGGCATTGGGTACGGGACATTGTTGATATGCTCGCTGTACATGGGATCGATGCCGTTTGTGGCACCCACGGGATACACCACTTGCTCCAGATCACCGGCCATCTTGGGGTAAACAAGTGCTGGGTTTGGGTTTGGTGGTGCAGTTGTCGCGGGACGGAGCGTACCATTTCGCGCATTGGGATCCAAGGTGGGAGTTGAAGCGACGGCTTTTTGAGGATCGTTCATCGACTCGACACCGTTCATATTGAATTGTAGTTCGGCGTTCATGTCATTCAGGAGCTTTGAGGCTTGTTGGAGGGGCGATGAGGGTTCATCGTCCACTGCTCCAACCTGGGAAGGGCTCATTGTCGTTCCGGGCGCTTGGAATGCCACGGCTTTGCTGTCTCGACGCTGGCGCGCATCCACCGAAAGCAAGTAGGTCATCACCTGGTGAATGACATTCTCGTGGTTTAAAACCGTCTTCTGTACTCGCATCACTTCCTGTAGCATGAGCTGATGATCCACCGTGAGCTGGGCGTATCGATCTGATAGATGTTGGATCTGCTGTTGTTGCGCCACGATCTGCTGGTTAAGAAGATCAATTTGTTGCGTGGGTACGGAGTCGTCTGTAGGTTGGGTTTGTTTTCGCGGCGCGGGTGCCTTTCGGCGAATGTTGTCGAGGGATTCTTTGCTGTTTGCGCGGAACTCTGGGTGCTTGAATTCCCATGCCTGTATAATTTGTGTGAGACCCTCGGTCTAATTGATAGTCGAATAGGAGGGGGGTTGCTTACATTCTGTCCGTATGGCGACTGGCCATTTTCTTCGTTGTTTTGTCGCACCTTGTGGAAGTCGTATTTGTTCAGTTGGCGTACAAAACTGGCAAAGTTGCTGTGTTTAAAGTGTTTTGGTAGGATGGTCTTGGTGAATTTCTCGCACTATGATTCGAGTTAGCCAAGCTCCCGAGAGACTCGAATTTGTTCGGGCACACAAAGCCACGGGCGCATTACCTCCAATACCACAAAGGAATCCCCTTCATCCCCCCAGCGTACGATCGACGCATAGGTTGGGTCCTCCAGCATTCTGCAAGGTCAGATTTAAAAGGTCCCAAGGACAGGGTCAGTTTGCAGAGTAAGACTTACTTGTACAGCTTGCGTACCTATTCATGATGTTAGTTAAAGGTCACAACAATATAGGGTATTAGACACTATAGGTTATAGGGTCACTAACAAAATCACTGGAGTTCCCAGCGGGGGCGGGATTGGAAGAGGTCTGGCCACCGTCCATGCTGGGCTAGACGGGTCGCGACCGGTCGAACAAGCAGGTCTGGGTCTTCGTCCCAACGCGAAGAAACTTGATTGTAAATATAACGGAGAGAACTTCGAATCTACTCCAAAAGAAAAAGAATAGGGAAGAAATGCCAGACCTTCTCGGAGAGTGGGAAGAGAGAGGGAAAAAAAATGAAATAATAACGGGGGTACGGTCAGTTACTGGGTTTGGCGGTAGAGCCAAGTACCAAAGTTACTGTGGAGGTACTGTCTGGTACATGAGATGGACTTTACCGTCCAGTTTTCGTGTTATTTCGTTTGGTTTTTACCATCAATACATTACATTTTATATTAACGGATTTAACTGATTTAACTTGACTTATGAGACTTAACTGACTTAACGAACATTTCAAAATGCAAGGAGGTTGATCTTAAATATCCCAGTTCTCAGGGACCAACGAGGGGCAAAATTCCAGTATGTCACACACCACTCCCGAAGGTACTAACCAGGTATTGTATAGGTACAAGTTCTTAGACAAAAAAAACACACTTCAATAACCACATATTATTCGTTATTGAAATAGCTAGATGCAGGACAGACATAATGGAGGGGATTGTGTCAGTGCGCACGAGATGGAGGGGCATTCCCCCCCAATGACCTGATTGAAAAAAAAATGGTGAGACATTGAATTAGCGTAGAGTGGATTCAGAACAAGAGAGAGATCAAAGAAGTCTTTCAAAAGGTTTAGTGTGTAACGGGGGAATAAGCAGTATGTGCTGCCTAGGTGTAAATGCTCCACTGAAATAACGCTTTTTTTTAATCTGTTTTATATGGATAACATTGAGTGATCAGCCCTGCCATTCTCCGCGTGTCTCACTTTTGATGTGTTAGGTTCGAGCTTTTGGAACCTGTTTGACCGTTTCATGAACCTATATTAACCGGAGAGAACCACCGATCCACCTTTCCCGAGACCGGATATTAAGTGAAAAGATATTAAATATGGTGCCAAACATCTATTATCCAAGAATTCCCTCAAAAATCC